GACAACATGCGAAGTCTATGTTCGAAGTAATTAGCACCCTTTCAATTGGTCCACATGAACAATGCGAGTTATCTTCTTGTTGGCAGCGTTCACCACAAGAAAATTCACTGGGGTTAGTTTTTTCTGCACAACAAACGGCCCAGTCCATCGTGGTGCTAGCTTAGCTGAGAAGTTCTTTTCCGCATTTGATAGAGGTTTAGTCTTCACCATGACTTGGCTTCCTTCAGTGATGCGGCACTCATCACGGCTCTGGTCGTAGTATTGTTTGGAGCTACTAACAGCGCGTCGACGATTGTGTGCGATTTCTTCTTGCGTAGGAATGTCTTTGTTTCCCTCAGTCTGCAGGCGGTTAGTCAAGGGAGAAGCCAAGCGCCGTCCAAACATAACTACTGATGGTTCTACACCAAGTGTGTCATGACTACTGCTGTTCAGGGCAAACGCGAGTTCAGCGAGATGAACATCCCACTGTCGATGGTCAGATCCGGTGTAAGCTTGAAGCATGGCCTTGATGTTACGATTCACCCTTTCGACCCAGTTCGTTTGGGGGTGATATGGCGTGATGAAGATCTGCTCAATCCCCCCAATCTGTGCAGACAGCTCGCAGAACCTTCCCTCTGAATTGGGGGCCATTGTCCGAGAGCAGGGCTCCTGGAGGTCCATATCTGCAGAACAGCTCCCTCACTAGAGTGGTTGCAACCGACTGGCTGGTAGCTGACTTCAAAGGCAGAATCTCCACAAACTTTGAGAAATGGTCGACAGCCACCAGAATATACTCATGCCCAGCATACGACTTTGGCAAAGGCCCCATGAGATCTACACCAACCTTTTCCCAAGGCCTCGTGGAGGTACTAGACAACATCTTCCCTTGACGTCTCTGGTAAGAAGGCTTTGTTTGAAGACAAACCTTACAACTGCGAATAAAGCTTCTTACAGACCGCGACATACCACTCCACCAGAGACCCATCGACTTCAACCTTTGAAGAGTCTTCTTTCTCCCAAGATGCCCAGCTATTGGCTTGCAATGACACTCAACTAACACTGCATTCTGAAGTGCCTTGGGGATAACTACACATTCATTCTTATACAACACCATTCCCTTCAAACTGAAATCTGAAAACCTCTGAACAGGACCTTGATCCTCCCCACCACCATTCTTTTGCTTTTCAAGGATCTGAATGATTGGCAAAAGATCTGGGTCACTCTGTTGTGCCCTCAGGACAGAATCCTTTGTCAAATCCAAAGGAAGAACGACTTCATCCGTGGCCTCTGACTTGCCAACACAAGATGGGCAAGAGTATGTGTCCACCTCCTCCGCCTCTTGAGAACCAATATGGACACAAACCTGGTGATACCACTTATCACAATCATCACATTGTACCCAACTAACCGACTCATCATCCGGGGAAATGCAATCACTGGCTGCACATAGGTCCTTTTCATGTCCGTCACAGACTCGATCCGACAAAACCCTGTTTACAACTCCCACCAAAGGGGCAACACCTTTCTCAGGAATCCTAGATAGTGCGTCCGGGACATGATGTTGCTTTCCAGGCCTGTATATCACCTGAAACCGAAAATCCTGAAGCCTCAGAATCTAACGAGCAAGTCGCCCATTTTGCTTCTTCTTCCGAAATAACCAGCAAAGTGCCTGGTGGTCCGTTATTACACGACACTCTCTACCTTCCAGATATGGCCGCCATTTCTCTAGGGCCCATACTACAGCCAAACACTCCTTCTCAGTAGTACTATAATTCCTTTCTGCAGCAGACAAAGACCGACTCGCATAGGCGATAGTTCTCGTCCCAGACGGTTGCTGCTGGATCAGGACTGCACCGACCCCAACATTGCTGGCATCTGTGTGTACAGCAAACCTGGATTCTTCATCAGGGTAGCCTAGTATTGGCTCAGTGAGGAGGCTCTCCTTCAAGGCCTGAAAAGCACGAGTGCAGTCAGCAGTCCAATTCCAGGGAACACCTTTCTTCTTCAATCCATGAAGAGGTGCAGCAACCTCTGAGAAGCTAGGAATGAATTTCTGATACCATCCGGCCATCCCAAGGAACCTCTCTAATTCCTTGATCGACCTAGGTTGGGGATAGTTAACAATGGTAGACACCTTCTCGGGGTCAATCTTGAGTCCATTTGAGCTGACAACATGGCCAAGATATTTCATTTCTTGGCAGGCAAACTGACATTTCTCAGTATTTACGGTCAGACCCGCTTGTCGTAAGCAACAAAAGATCTCCTGGAGATCAGAGATGTGCTGCTCAATATCTGGAGAGAAACACACAATGTCGTCCAAGTAGACATAGCAATTTCGCCCTATCAGGCCATCAAGCACCTTGGACATCAACCGTTGGAAACTGGCAGGACCATTTACCACACCAAAAGGAAGGACCTTGAAGTGGAATAGACCCCTATGACAAACAAAGGCAGTCTTCTCCTCATCCTCATCTGCAACACCCATCTGCCAGTATCCACTGCGCAGATCTAATGACGAGAAAACCGAGGCACCATGCAGAGAGCTCAAAATGTCATCCACTGTAGGCATGGGGAAGGCATCAATCTTTGTAATTGTATTCAATTTTCGGTAATCGACACACATCCTGTACTTCCCGTTCTTCTTAGGGACCATCACTACAGGAGCGGCCCAAGGTGAATCTGAAGGCTCAATCTTCCCCATGTCCAGAAGCTTATCCAACTCTTCATCAAGAGCTTGTCTTTTCTCAGGACTCACCTTGTACGGGTGAGAGCGGATGGGAGAAGCCCCTCCTACATCAATTCTATGAATAGCCATGTTCGTATGACCAGGTACCTCACTAAACACATCTGGGAAGTCTTGAAAAACCTGATTTAATTTCTGTCTATCTGCTTCAGTTAGATCAAGTTTCTTCATCTCATCCTCAGCTTGGAGATGAACATCGACTTCTTCTTCAACATGTGACATCTCCTGCCCTCCATTCAACGAGAACTTAACTGGCCGCTCATTGGCCCCATCGCTACTTGTGCTATAACTACGACTGCCAAAATCTATGATAAGTTTCACCTTTTCAGCAAAGTCAGCACCAAGGAGGACAGGTACTGGGAGCCTACCAACCACATGAAAGACCTCAGTCGCAGTGCTGCCTCCTAGACCCACTTGCAGGGATGCTAAACCATCAGGCACTAAGGCGGTTTCATTGATCATGCCTAACACCCCTTCAGTTTCACGAGTAACCTCTACCCCTAACTCCTTACACAATTCAAAAGTGACCAGGGAAACCTCTGACCCCGAATCCAGCAGGGCTTGAGTCTTCACCACTCTGTCATCTAGACCCTGAACAACAACATCTGCAATTGTAGCATCACCCCTATCCTTTGCAATGAAATTGCACCTTGGTGACGGTTCTCGAGTAAAGCCATGCGGAGGTCCTCCCTGGAAACCCGACCCTGTGGCCCCCGGAGGTACCGGACAGTTGGCAATAGGCCAGTTTCGTAATGTATTCAGAGACCTTTAAATCGCATTACGTAATCGGAGGGTCGGACAAACAATGAACTCGCTGTGCGCAGCAGCCTACGCTCTGTGTGTGTACAATACATGTAATACTGTTGTCTTGCTATTGTGCCATGTGATTGTATTGTTTGCTTTCGCTGTTTGAGAGAGAGAAAGAGAAGAAAAAGGAGGCAGTTTCAAACTTCAGGAACAAATACCTTTGAGATACTTCGAGATGTGATTATCTTCTTCATAAATTTGATTTGAAATCGCCGATTTTTAGTCAAGAACAATGGGAAAGCATTGCGGTTTCGGAACGTGCAATAGCGATTCACGCTATGCAAAACGACCGGACATGGAAGGGGTTTTCTTTCTAGCCTTTCCCAAACCAAAAACAAAGCTTGACAAATGCAAAATATGGTTAAAGGCATGTGGAAGAAAAGACTTTGGGGTGGATAATGTAACAAAGCACACATACGTTTGTTCTAAACATTTTGTTGGGGGAAAGGGCCCCACCGCAGAACATCCCAATCCACTTCCAGCCACGGCGACTCAGCTGGAGAAACAACTTGCAGCCAAACCTGTACGGCCAAGTCCCCGGGACAGGCATCACACGATACCTCCCCCGAAAAGAAGAAAAACGGAGGACATTGGCTTAAAAGCCATTGATGAAATCGAAATAGAAGGCGAAGAACCAAATAATCCGTTCGCCGATGACGGTAATTTCCATTCAATTTTTCATTTACCTTAGCTTGAAACAATGGACCTACTACCGAGTAAAAATGTAGACGTAGAAATAAGAGAAGAGATGAATTATTTTCCACCCGATCGCAAACAGTCGTGTTTGCTTCCACCAGTACCAGCACGTGCACGTTTTTTACGCACGATTCAATCGACCACTTTCATAATATCACCAAATTTATGGATATCGATATGCCTTTGTAAAACGCCTCGATAGTCGATACTAATTATTATTTTATAGCGGCCTGGCCCATGCATGAAACGGAAAACGAAAAGCATGCAGTGACCACAGAATCAGTATTATTAGGAATAGTTATGATAAATAATGATGATAAAGATAATAATACTTATAAATAATGTCAACCGATGACAGAGAAGAATAAGAAAGGTGAACATTGATGAATAGATTAATGATAAAAAGTAATGACAAAAACACAATAAGGGGTAATAAAAATGATGATAGTGATTTAACATAAGATTGGGAAGTTTGATTATCATAAAAGTTGATAGTTGGCCCTTATAATTATGGACCTTCATTATTTAAGAAGCAATTATTTATTCAAAACGAATTAAAGATCACATTTTTTTTTCATTTTTCAAATACTTTTTTTGTTTAATATATATATATTCTCATTTTCTCTTGCCAGATTTCAAGATGTACAGAACCACAGAAACACAGAGCTCAGTTAGATTCCATCATCTCAAAGACTTCACAGACGATGAACTTTCAGATCATCAATTTCTTATGCGTACAAAGTTTGTTGAACAAATAACAAAGACAGACAAGAAGTGCATGTTCTATACAGGTATTTATTGGCATTGTACTTTACACTGATGAATAAAATACTGATCAATTACAGAATAGCCACATATATAATCACTCCTGTTGAATGACACTGCAATGTATACCTTGTGTTAGCTTTAAAACATTTTGTTCAAATGTATTCACAAAATATTTGTATTATCAGAAGAAATTAAGAACATACAAAACTTGACCAAATTGTAAATCGTCTTTTTCTCTCAAATTTTCCCTTTAAATTCAGGTCTTACTCTTGCCATGCTGACTTTTCTGTTCAATTTCCTGAAGGACAAAGCTTCTAGACTAACTTATTGGGAAGGACCAAACTCAACGAATAAAGATGCAGCACAAAGGCTAGAGGCAAAGGTATAAAATCGATTTCTCTCAAAATAAATCGCTATATTTAAACAAAAAATTGGCACATAACTTCTTTGGCAAAACGATTTATAAGTTCCAGAGTGTTTCAATAAATTTCATTTTCCTTGTGTGAAATTATATCTATCTCATATAACTACATTTACATGTACATGTACATGTATAATAATGCAACACTTGATAATGTGTTAACACATTTAATGTTTATTTACTTATACTTGCAGGAGAAACGCCCAGTAAGGACACTTACACTACGAGAGGAATTTATCATGACACTGATAAGAATACGACGTGGCTTCACTGTCAGAACTTTGTCTGATATGTTTGGCATATCAGTTAGCTATACAAGTAAAATCTTCTGCACTTGGATATCATTTCTGTACCTTGAACTTGGACCACTTCTTATCCGCTGGCCAACAAAGGAACAAATTGCCAAGACATTTCCTGCTAGTTTCAAACATTTCAAGAATACTAGATGTATCATTGATTGTACAGAAATATTTATTCAGAAACCTTCCATGCCAAGCTCTCAACGTATAACATGGTCTTCATATAAACATCATAATACTTCAAAATTATTGGTTGCAACTTCTCCTCGTGGAACATTCACATTCATATCGAGTTTATGGACAGGTAGTATTTCAGATAAACGCATAGTACAAGAATCTGGATTTATGGATCTGATCGAACGTGGAGATGATGTCATGGCAGACAGAGGATTTTTAATACGTGACTTACTCGCAGAAAAAGGAGCAACTCTCAACATTCCTCCCTTTGCTCATGGAAAACAACTATCTGTTCATGCTACTACAAAAACAAGGAGAATCGCATCTGCAAGAATACACGTTGAAAGAGCTATTGGTCGTCTAAAGACATTTCGACTACTTAATGGAGTCGTTCCCTTAAATTTGAAGCCTCTTTTGAATCAAATTGTTGTTGTGTGCGCAGCCCTCTGTAACCTACAGGACCCTTTGAACAAGTAAAAGATGTTACATGGTTCTGCCATCCAAACACTTTGCAGTTTTCACAAACTACATGTATACCTAGTTACACTGCATGATGCATACATGTACGTTAAATAGAACAAAGTTTACTCCAACAGTTTTGGCAAAATGTTCTTCAGGAAAAAGACTTCAAGCTTCTTCATAAGTTCTGTAAAAAAAATCTCATCAAAGTTTACAGGGATACAGGATATTCCTTTCGTAGTGTAAACAACCAGGTCACAGTGTTTTACCCCACAAACGCCCATCTGTCCTTGTACTTGAGCGTAATATTTACACCCTTCACCACACACTAGTTCGTTGTTGACAATGACACAACCTCTCTTCAGAGCAGCTTCCTTTGGATGCGAATCCTTCTCGGTGTACGGACATTTAACTTCGACGACCCATCTACTACGACACGGAGTCTTGCACTTACAAGATGCAACAGAATCTGGGCTTGCTCCTACATAGCCATGCTTCTCCATTACGAACAACCCACTATGCTTAACAGAAAGCTTCTTGTGTTTATTTTTTTCCACTTTGAAGTACTTTTGAAGCGCAGTCTTCTCCTTTTTTCTCCCCCACTCGATGGCAGCTGGCAAATGTTCCAGTTGGTTCCCCTCTATTATCCGTTTTGCTAGCGTTCCCCCTCCTTCGATTCGAGAGCGCACTATGGCATGAAAGTTTGATGCTGTTAGTCTGGCTTCCCTCATATCATGCCACTGTTGTTCGTCAGACTGGCCCCTTGTAGCTCGTTCGATATCTGCTACTTCTTCAGATGAGTACTGCAAGGAGTCCATGATGTTGGTAACATTCGACGAATGCCCTTGCTGAATCCTGCTCCTTATCCCTAGATGCTTGATGTTTGTTGAAGGAGCTTGGGCTGGTAGGTCAGGGGCTCCTGGTAGAAATTCCAGAGCACCAGCTGTACCATTGACCTACATAAGTGTAATAAAAGAAACAAGTATTAATACATGAAACATGATTTACATGCAGGTAAAAACAGAGATGTATATTTTAAAATAATATGTCCATAAAGATTTCAGAGTAAATCAATAAAGGAATTTTTGTTTACTAGACTTGAACGTCTGACTTGTCATTCATTTAAGGTTTGCGTTATACATGTACAATAAATAATTAATAAATATGTTTGATCTGGCTGTTAATACATGTTAGCCTGTTAGGCTAACAATCAATATTAAAGAAAAAAAATGAAAGTTTGAAAAATAGATTTTGAAGATATCATGTTTTGATTTCAAAACCTACCACTGCAGAAGAGAATAGAGAACAAAGGGTAAATGAGAAGGGGCAGACAAGCGGATCAGAAAGAGAGAGAGTGGGGGGGGGGGGGGTAAAGAACAACATATAGTGTAGAGGAGTGAGCAAGAGAAAAAATGAGCACGTACAGTACATGTATGAAAGATGATATGAATAATAGAAGAAATAATTATATTACCTCTGCTACGCCTGCAGCAAATTCTTTCACCGCATCTTCATCAAGACATTGTTGATCACCAACAGCTCTTGGGTCAAAGTCAAGTTTGCTGGATGACTGTCCAGGATTGGTAGGATCAGCTTCTCCATACCTATAAATAAAGTTGTAAAAATTATAATAATCTGCTTTGCAACAATCAAATATGTCATTCTATGCAGAGAACATCCTCATGAAAATGAAGGGAGGAATACTATGCAGATGCTCCTGTTGAATAATATGTCATTTCTTTCCTTTTTATTCAACATTGAATAACGTATATATTATATATTTAAATTTCATTTTAAAAATCAGTTATTAAAGAATTAGGAATCTCAAACTTATATTCATGAAAATGATATCAACCATACCTTGCTTTCTTAACTGTTAAGTTAACAAGTTGGGTGGGAACATCATGATGACGGGCTCTCCTTTTCCACTCAGCCGGGCCTTCGGTGCATGCCTTTTTGTCAAATGCCTCAATCTCGTACAGTACAGCAGCAAGATGCCGACAAGCACCATCAGACCTAAAAAATAAACCAAAGTTATACGAAAGTTATTGCAAAATCTGTTCCAAAACTTGGTTTATGGTTAACAATATCAAAGAAAAAATGTTGAAAGTTTGTATTGTCTACAAGGGGGTTTCTCAATTTTTCTTTTCCCCCTAGGCCTACAGCTACATACTGTACATGTACAGATCATATTGTCATGAAGAGAGGGAAGCACCACATCCACCCCCTTTAAAATACATTGTTTGGGGGGGGGGGAGGGGGTATATAATTTGAAATTAATTTGAAATTAAATGTGAATCATGTGGCAAAAAAAAATAAGGTCTAGACTAAACAGTTAAACTCTAGTAAGAGTTTACTCACCCTCCAGGACATTCACAATAAGCAATGCTTATTTCACCGAGCTCCTTTGTCATTATTAGCCAGGAAGAATATGTAGCCTTGTTCAGATATGTTTTGTCTTTTTGAGTCGGTTTGACCTGTGCTCTGAAAACACACGAGTCGCTATCTGCAGAGAGGGGATTGTATTCAAGCTTCTCCACATTTCCATCGGCAAAAAGTCGGTAGTCCTCAAAGCTCTTGAAAGCCTTTAGTTTTCGACGATCATAGTCCGCTCTATTTTCAACTAAATAATTAAAAACATCGTAGATTCCAAAGTCCGGAATATCATCAAACTTGGAAGTGTACCCGGGGACTTCTGTTGGATCACTGAATGAAAAACCTGCACGTTGCAGTTTCCCACGCACAGTAGCGTCTACCGAGTGAGACGGGCCCGAGAGGTCCGGGTCTACAGGCAGACTAATGTCCGCTACCGCGGACGCTAATCGGACGAGTCTTTCCTTGTTGTATCCCGTGCACGAAACTCCTCTTTTCCGAAGAAAATCTTGCAGCTGCTTGATATTAAACTTGCTGAACGTCAAGCTAGAAGACATTTCCTTCAAAAACAGAAATCCAAATATACAAACGCGGCGTCGATAGAAAGATATTAACGAAATTTAACGGCGACAACCAACAGTCTCATACACAATGCACAGATTCAAAATGGCGATTTGACAAAGCTTGCCGGGCCTGGTTACAGTAACCGCGCATTACGTAACCGCCGAAACTGGCCTATTCTGTGCCCGAGCTGGCCACACCGGTAGCAGGCAGCATTAAAGGATCTACGTCCCGTGGGGTTACTGCCTGCACCTGTCCGTCGTGGAGTGGAGGGATCACTCCCTGGGGTTGTGTTACCCGCATTCGCCCCCCTCTGGATTACTAATTCGTCCGCCTTGCGCGCAACGACCATGAGAGATGTGGCTTGTAGCTCCCTTAGCTTTAACCTCAATACTTCATCGGGTACTCTCTCTAAGAATTGGTCAATCATGACCAGATTGAGCCCTTTAGAGACTTCAGGCATCTCTACTGCCTCCTGGGGTATCTCAACCCACTTCAAAAAATAATCTTGTAAATGACTAGTGAATTCTTCATAACTTTCATTGGTCTTCTTATGTTCTTTTTTTAACTTTATTCTGTATGCCTCCGGAGTGAGGTGGTACCTTCTCTTTATGGCCAGGACAACATCATCATAGTTGTTTTGTTCTCTAGTACTCAGGGCGTGGAATGCCTGCTGAGCTCTTCCAGTAAGATATGGTTCTAACAGCCGAGGCCATTCACTCTTTGGCTTGTTTGCTGCCAGGGCTAGTCGCTCAAAAGTGCTAAGGTAGCACACCATATCATCATCGTTACTTAGCTGATGTAATCCCTTTAACGGAGGACCAGTTTGTGCAGAGCTACCGATTGCAGCAGACAGTAAGGATTTGCATAGTTTCTCAGTCTCATGATGATGAGAATCTTCAAGGTGCTTCATGACCCGCAAAAGGTCATCCACACCCACACCTGTATTTTTTGGTTCATCCTCTACCAGCTTAGGCAAATCACATAAACATGAGATCCGCTCTTGCTTGGTCTTTACAGCATTGGTATCAATATGATTCAATTCACACAAGTGTGCTATGTGCTCAGCTGTAAATCTGCCGAGATATGCTGATCGGTCCGTCATGGTTAATTTTATCTTTTATTGAGCACTGAATATTATACTAGACTAGTCTAGATCTAGTTTAAATTTAATTTAGTGACCTATTGAACGTGTGTGTTTTAGTGTATGGTGTATAGTGAGAGTGGTCTAGACTTCTAAATCTACTATTTTAATCAAACTTTTATTTATTTAGTCTAGTCTAGACCCTATGTATTTATTTATTTTTCTATTTCATTTTTAATGTTACTTCAATACTAGACTACTTGTTTAATAGCTACCTTAACTTTGATTAGTCTATCTGTAGAGTCTAGACCTAGATCTAGACCCTAGATCTACTGCTAAATCAACAAGCACTAGTAGGCCTATAGGCCTGCACAATAAGTGGGGCAACAGTCACACACTGCATGAAACAACCGTGTCAAAAAAAAAAAAAAAAAAAAAAAAAAAAAAAAAAAAAAAAAAAAAAAAAAAAGAGAGAAATCTTGAAGGAGAAAAAGAAACTTAAGAAATCAAAAATCTCAGTTCATGAGGACCTTACCCGCTATAGACACAGTTTGCTAATTGCTACCCAGAAGAGCGATAGAGTCACAACCTGCTGGACTATGGATGGGAAGGTATTTGCGAATGTTCCATCCACTCATGGTGAGTCTGTAAGACGACTTATCCCAAACATTGACTTTCTAAACACTCTCCCGAAACTTGTGTGGTAGTTCTCTTTCCTCACTTGCCAGTAATATGTTTATTTTTTTCACTGATTATGATAGTGTCAAGATTCATGACAGTGACATTTCACTTGCTGTATTTTTCATACTGATTTATATTTGTTATTGTGTACATAGTTGTATGAATCTAATGTATCCTAGTCTTTGTCAATGAGACTTTATTTTTTATTAACTTAAGTAAAATATTTTAATCTTTTTTATAAAGACCTTTTTATAATTCCTTGGCTGTGTGTAATTTTTGTAATTTTTTGTAATTTTTTTGTTGTTCTTCCTCTTAGCTGTTGAAGATACTGTGGGGTGTTGTTTATTATTGTTGTAGTGGTGGTACATGTATCAATCTTGTATGCCATAACCTATTCTTGTGGTTGGTACATTTTTTAACCATTATTTATATAGCTGTAATATACATGTATAGTGGGTGGTACTTTTTCTAATGCCTTTATCTGATTTCTGCAAAGAGGATAGTACACCATACCTTCTAGAAGATCAATTCAATGAGTTTATGAATGAAGTTGACTCAAAGACTTCATTATCATTTATACATTTTAACTGTCGTAGCCTAAGGAAGAATTACGAAAATATATTTGATTATATAACTTCTCTGTCAGTCACATTTGATGTGATAGGTCTAACTGAAACTTGGATAAATCAGGATGAAAATTTTTCATTATTTGTTCCTCCAAATTATTCTTATGTAAACTGTGGCAGAGTTGAAGGTCGTGGAGGAGGTGTAGGAATTCTGATACACGATAATTTAAAATATTTTCATCGTTCTGATCTTACTGTGGTAAACAAACAATATGAGATGATCTTTATTGAAATTCCAAGAGAGAGTGACAAAAATATTTTAATCGGAGCTATGTATAGACCGCCTAATCAATCGGTTGGAATGTTCATCAATGATATCTATACAGTGTTATTCAACCTCCAAAAAGAAAATAAAGACTGCTATCTTATGGGCGATTACAATATTGATTTAATGAAAATGGATGTGTGCCTTTATGTAAATGACTTTGCCGAACTAATGGCATCTCATTGTTTTTTCCCAATTATTTATAATCCGACTAGAATTACTAAGGAAAGTGCAACTCTTATCGATAATATTTTTTCAAATACAGTACATGAATTTTTAAAAATTGGTATTCTATTGACTGATATAACAGACCATTTACCTATATTTGCCACTCTCTCTTGGAATAAACCAGTGAATTCCGAAAGAGTATTTTATAAACGCAACATAACTGACTCTGGTTTTCAATTATTTAATAGAAATTTCAGTACCTTGAATTTTCAAAATATGTATAATACATCTGATGTTGATATGAAGTATAATCTATTCATGAATGCTTTTAAAAACATATATGATTCCTGTTTTCCACTTAAAAAGATTACAATTAAGGAAAGGAAAAGTGTTAAACTATGGATTACTAACGAAATTAAAAAACGGTGTAAAAAGAAGAATAGATTGTATAAAAAATATCTTTCCAAACCATCACTAGAGAGAGAACGTAATTTTAAAACATTTCGGAATAAGCTGAATAAAGATATAAGATATGTGAAAAAAGAATATTATTTAAATAAGTTTCAGTCCGTGAGAGGCAATATGCAAAAGACTTGGAAGTACATTAATGAAATAATAAGGAGGAAACCCCAGGGTGTCCGTCCTGAATTTATTTTAAATGAAGGTGACAAAATTTATGACAATATAAGAATTACAGAGTTGTTCAATGACTATTTTGTTTCTATTGGAGCCTCACTAGGCAATCAATGCTCTTCCATAAATGACTTTAATTGTTTTTTACAAGGTAATTATTCCAATTCTTTTTTCTTAAAACCTATTACTGAGGGAGAAATTGTCGAGATTGTTCGTAGTTTTAAAGCAAATAAAAGTGCCGGACATGATGATATTGAACCAGAGATTGTTAAGAAAACTATACATGTTTATGCCAAACACCTTTGTCATATTTTTAATGAGTCTTTTATTTCAGGACAACTTCCAGATCAATTAAAGTTAGCAAAAGTAATACCCCTTTATAAGAATCTCTGTAAAGAAAAAATAGAAAATTATCGACCTATTTCTATCTTGCCAATCTTTTCAAAAATATTAGAAAAATTGGTCTACAAACGTCTCATTAACTACTTGAATAAGAATGATATTTTATATGCTAAACAATTTGGATTTCGTGAAAAACACTCAACATCCATGGCTCTAATTGAATTTTTAAATCTTGTTACTCAGGCATTGGAAAATAAGCTAATTCCAGTTGGTATATTCCTTGATTTATCTAAAGCGTTCGACTGTATTAACCATTCTATTTTGTTACAAAAGCTATCATTTTATGGCATACGGGGAACTCCTCTCAAATGGTTCAAAAATTACCTTTTGAATAGGAAACAGTTTGTTAAATTTAATAATGTTTGTTCTCAATCACAGATCCTTTCAACAGGAGTACCCCAAGGCAGTGTTCTTGGTCCTTTATTGTTTTTGTTGTTTATAAATGATCTTCACTTTGTGTCTGACAAGCTTAATTTTGTTTTATTTGCTGATGACACCAATATATTATTATCAGGTAAAACTGTGCAAAATTTAAATGAGGTTTTAAACCAAGAACTGAGTAGAGTTTGCAAATGGTTCACTGCTAATAAACTTGTTGTTAATATGAAAAAAACTAATTATATTGTATTCAGGAGAAGAAAGGTTGGAGGTGATTTTAATGAATTGAATGTAAAATTTGATAATGTGTTGCTCACCAGAGTTAATTCAACTAAATTTTTAGGAGTTTACATAGATGAGTACCTTACTTGGAAAAGTCATGTCAGTTACATATCTTCAAAAATTGCCAGTGTACTGGGAGTTATTTATAGTGTAAATAAACTGCTCCCCCAAAAAATATTAATGAATTTATACAATACTCTAATCTTGCCACATTTTTCATATGCTGTCTTAGCTTGGGGTGGATGTTTAATTACCTTAATGAACCGTTTGCAGATTTTACAGAAAAAGGCTGTTCGTGCAATAACAAACTCTACTTATCTTGCACATACTGCACCCTTGTATAAACGCCTGAATATTTTGAATGTGAAATCTCTATATTATATGCAACTTGCTCAATTTATGTTTCTTTTCAAGAAAAATCAGCTACCATGTATTTTTAATGAGATGTTCACTGTTAATGCTGAAATTCACTCTTATGAAACAAGAAGTTCAAATAAATTTCATTTGCCCTCTGTTAAAACAACTTTTCTTCAAAGGAACATTTATTTTAGTGGACCATCACTATGGAATTTACTTCCCAATGATATTGTCAGCTGCTCATCACTTTATTCTTTCAAGTCAAAGTTGAAACAATATTTGATTTCGTATCCAACTCTT